AAATGAAAATAGCACCTCTGCTAAACCAAATGAACTCGTCATTTTTTCATCCTACCGTGGAATTCACTAAAGCCAAAGTTAACAGTATCTCCAAGAGAGACTGTTGAAGAAAAGTGTGCAGGCCCAGGAGTATTAATGAATGACAGGTTGAAACTCGAACGCCACTCATCATTCTCCGTTCAATTAAGTTATCCGAGGGCGTCGACAACTCTTGATGGTAAGAATGTGATCGCCCATCATGTAAAGGAACGAGCATATGGCTGCAAGTACTGTCATAAGAAGTTTTCCAGTAAGCAAGCATTAGGTGGACACCAAAATGGCCACAAATTTGAGCGAGTCATAGAAAGAAATGCAAATTTTGGACGTGTAGGGGGTCCCTCCTATCGTGGCATGAATTCTCTCCCTTTTCAGAGTTCTTTCAATATACGTCGAGAAATTTTTAACCAGTCTACGAGATATAGGACGTGTAATCCTCAAAACATGCAGCATGGAATGCTTGCCAACGGCCATCCAAATTCCAATCTGTCAATGACTCAAGAGCCTCATGCCCATGAACCCCTTCAGGAGTTTAGCCACCGTTACCCTATATGGCCAAATCCCCACTTGACAGATTCCCAGTTTATTGCAGCCTCAACAGGGATGGAAAATCACACACTAAATTTTTCGAACTCGACATTTAGAACAGCCTGTTCCAATGCAACGACGATTTCGGGTGTGTCTGGAGGTATATCAACTGCTAATTATTTGCAATCCATCCACGACACAAATCTCAGAGCTGAGATTAACCACCAAATTACCGATTCAACAAATCAGCAATGTCCATACTCGGAGCTAGATTTATCACTGAAGCTCTGATTTCATCACCATCTTATTCTCTTTTTACTTGTCACAGTTTTCAAGGATTTAGTGTCATATTCAGTTTCCAGATATCAATTTCCAAGTATTTCATGTGTACTGAAACATTCTGATCCATAATTTTAAGTGACATAAAATTTATTTACGTTTAATCCTGTCCATTTAGTTGATTTCATTCTTTAGAGGCTGCAAATGGATTGGGACTAGCCCACCAAAGTATATTTGACCGGGGTCCCTGCCAAATGTTGCGAGTCCGTTTCATTTCTAGGCTTTTTAGGGGTCAGTCAAGGTCTAAATAGTTCAGCCCTGATGCCAATTAAGCCACGTTTGGTAGTCAGTATTTTGGAAAAACATTATTTTGAAATTTGAATAGTAAATTTTTGGAGAATGTTTAGTTAAAAAGTAGGGAAAATATTTGGGTTAATGTGTAAAATATTTTATTGTGTGAATGTGTAATTGAAAATAAGTATGTAGAAAAAAAAAGTTTTGAAAGAATAGGAGAGAGACATTAGCTAAAGTGAAAGAGTATATGTTATTTTTATTTTTTCCATATATGACTCCTCTAATCTTCAAATTCTTAATATTCATTGTTATATAAATAGGATCCAAATGCTCTATCAACACTAGTAATTTTTTCCCTTAAATTTCCTTTGTCTAAATCCTTAACAATAGTAATATCAAAATCATTTTATAGACATGGATTACTACAATTTTTCAAATGATACTCATGCTACCTGAACAACCTTGATCTGCATTCCCCCACACATTAATATAAGTTCGAAATAGTAAGATAATACAAGAATCCCTTCATCAAATTATTTTAGAAAAAATGTCACTTGTACACTCTTTGATCGACATTAGTGTTGACATGACAAGTATTGACAAATGTTGAGTGGATGAAAAAACTGTCAAAAGTTTAAACTGTCCAATGGTGTGTAACGTGTGTTGTCACGTGACACAATGTAAGAGATGATGTACATGTATCATGATTGATTATTTTAACGCCCAAGATAAATGGATTGATCATTCCCCTTGCAAGGTATAGAATCAGCAAAATATAGGCAGTTTAAGATGATCAATAAAACTACAATCTTCACTTCATTTTTACAAAAGAAGCGTAAAAAACAGAACCCTTTTTTTTTCCCAACTTTCAATTCAGATCTTTTATTCGAAAATTCAAGAATTAGGAAACTTCTTCCTGGGTCTTCTGAGTATGGAAAATGATTGTTGTTGAAGGGACAACTTTTTCTTTGTTGTAAGTATACTGAATAGTGGGTGCGCTGGCCGATCAACCCACTTACTACTACATCCGATTAGCTATTTATAGGTTTGAATCAGCCGTTAAAAAATGTGGATGGAACGAAGCTCGAGTATGTCTTACAAATAGAGGGTTAATACCCTAAATAGTCATTGAACTTTTCCAAAAGTTCTCAGGAGCTCACCAAACTTCAAAAGTTTCATAAATAGTCACTGAACTTTGCAATAAGTTCCTAGGAGGTCACTGAACTTCGTTAATACTATAAATAGTCACCGAACTTTGCCAAAACTTCCCTAGATAGTCACTCAACTATGCAAAAAATTCCTAATTGATCAATGAACTATTGATGTATGGGGTCTTAA